GGGGTGCCTGGTCGGGCCATCCTCCCAGCCCCCCCCCCCCCAGGTTTCCTGCTCTGCCTGGTCAGTGGCATGCTGCAGAAGCACCACCTTGCCTTAGGAAAAAACCTTTGGGCCCACAGAAGAGTCTCAAGGGCATTCCTAGGAAATCAAGGCAAGGCCCCCCGCCTCTGAAAAGGAGTAGGGTATGTGGGTGGAGGAGAGAAACTCACCAGTTTGCCTCTGCATAAATAACACCGGTTTCATGGCAACCATTTTGTGCAGGCTCTCAACATTCAGGCTGAAAAGATCCTCTATCCAAAGCAAATGCTGTGTCCCCTCTCTATGCAACGCATAATTGGGGCCCTCAGCCAGAAAAAGAACCCAGAGACCAAAAGCTCTGGGCGCATGAACCGTCTTGTTAGGGAGGAGAATCTACAGGTTTTCCCGATGGGCACAGTGTCTTTCTCCACTTCAGTGACTACACCTCGCCCCCCCACGCCTCTCTTTAAAGATTACGTACCTGATCAAAGTAAATGCGGATGGATCCTACATTCTGAGCTCCTACTGCTGTCAAGGAAAAAAAGCCATGTTTCCAGTAGCCTGACAGGACGACCCGTTCATTATGGCAGAAGAGTTCTTTGATCCAACGAGCCACACCGGGGTTCACGGACATCAGGGCACCTGGAGGGAGAGCAAGTTGGTGCGTTTTTTGGCTCATCCAGCTACTGCTTCCAGAAGCTGGAAGAGAACTGAGGGAGCAGTAGGGGAGGCGCCAGAAGACAATCTCAGGCCTCTTGGGTGCTGTCTGTCCCTAACATTGGGAAATAGCTCAGCAGAAGTCTGAAGACAAAGTCCACCAGAGAAGGATTATCCCTAACATTCACTGACCCCTGAGAAGATCGAACCTAGTGAAAAAAGAGGGGGAGAGGGCTCGCCAGGGCAGGCTGAGGGAGGAACACCACTGCTGGGGGGCGGAGCTTGACTGCAGCACACGCTTAGCAGGTCAAGCTCCCCCATTCCCTCCCAAATGGGTTTTGGCACCGCTACCCACGGTTCCTTCAAAGACTTGTTTGTAGAGCAGTGTAGACTGTGCCACATGGAAGAGGTTTGCACGCCACTGGGATTCACGCGTGAGACAGCCTTCCTGCTCCTGAGCAGTCACTGGAGAGGGACTAATGTTTAAGTTGCTCGGCTGGCAAATGCTAGGTGTGTGAAGACCTGCCTCTGTGTCTCCCTCCTGTGGAAAGCAGGCCTACCTGGGAAGTGACGCCGGTGAGAGACCTTCCAATCTGTGGGTGAGTGGAAGCAGTGGTAGTCTCCAGGGGCTAGGTAAATCACACAGTGGAAGAGCTCGTTGGTGTCTTTTGTGACCAGCTGCCTTTGGAAGGAGTCGCAGCAGGAAGCTGGAAAAGGCCAGAGAGGAAAGGCTTTCTGAGAAAGAACTTGGAAAGCTGCCTTATTATCGATTCAGTAACTCAAGTAACTCCCTCCCTCCCTCCCTCCCTCCCTCCCTCCAGACAACAGCTAAAGGCTGATCCTGGCATCGCCTGCATGCCAAGGAGGGCCCCATCCCTGAGCAATAAGACCAAGACACAACTGGATTGGGAAGCAAACCTAAAACAGCCATAGGTTCAAAAACAAGGTAGGTCAAAGTCTCCTTGAGACCCGGAGACCTGAACATTTCTTGGCAACAACTTGGTTCCACAAACCATCTACCGCTGTGCATGGTCTTATTTGGGAATTGGAGAAACTGAGAAGCAAAGCTGGAACACTGTTCTTGAGCTCACATACCATATTCATTACTGATGAAAATCAAGAAGCAAACACAAGAAGAGCAGGGGAGGCACACCAGAGTGCACCTTCCCTGTGCAAATTTCACTGCATGTATTTATATTGAATATATAGCCAGCAGACTGTGAGTTACAGAATACCATTTATTCCTCCTGTGGGACACTTAGGAGCTAAACAGCCACTGGGGCCCCAAGCCCTGCAAACTTGGCTTCTGAAAAAGCTCCCCTGGAAATCATTACGTTTTATGAAAGGAGATTTCTGGAGACTTGGTCATGCTAGCAAAGAAGACTGTGAGGGCAGTGCAATGATTTGAATGCCTGCTTGAGACATCTCTCATAGCTTCCCTTCTCTCAGTCCAACCTACCTCGTTGTAGGAAAGAGTTGGAAGGCGCTTGCCTCCTTGGAGGACAGGCAGGACATATGTCCAGTAAAGAGAAACTGAATAAAAGCACCTCCTCCTCTTTGGGGACAGGGTTATCTCAGTGTCCACGGCTGTGCTGCAGTCCTGAGTTGCCTGGCCTCCTCCTCCTCATAAGACCTCCTCCCACTCCACGGAGGTGGCTGCCAGGATTTGTCCCTTGATCCCAGCGCTGCCTATTCTGCTGAGCAGCAAGAGGTGGGGGCTGTGCCAGATGCGAAGCACACGTGGTTCCTTAACTCCACTGGTGGGGCCACAATTCCTCCTGAAGTTTCTAGGGGGCGAGTGGAGGCTGGCTACTTCGCTTGGTGCAATTCATCCTTCTTCTAAAGATGCTTCTAAGGAACAGGGCTGGCCAGAAAGGGAGAGAACTGCTCTGGATGGCAGAAGTACCCTCTGCCCTGCTAGCTAGCTTATGGAAAAAAGGGTCCTGGAGTTGAAGGGGAGACTTACTTGGATTTTTTTGGTGGTTTTCATGATTGGCAGGTGGACCCAGGAAGGACTCAAGAGAGTAAGTAATGCCTTTTACTTGTTCCACTTCACAGTTCTTTACTTGTCCAAAACTGAGGATCTTTCCATCTGAAGGACTGATCTGTAGAGGAGAAAGAGCAAAAAGAATCTGGATGCTATCTTCTCTCCCTCCTCTATTAAACAATATCAACAGTTATTCAAATTCACATTACTTTGTTCCACTTTCATTAAATGCAATAAAAATAGTGTAGATGTAATTAATCTACCCAAACAAGCAGCAGTAAAACAACTTGAACATCAAATGCTTTTTCATACGAAAAAAAGATTTTCCAAAACCTCCCTATCCAAAAGTTGGAGAGGAGAAAGTCTCAGAAACTGACCACACTGTGGAGGTCGCAGACAGGCCGGGCCTGAGGCTTCAGCTTCCGTCGGAAAAATTCACTCAGGTTCCTGTAATGATGGAGGTCTTCCACGGCTGCCTCCTTCATGTTCACCCCAAAGGTCCAGATGTAGAGGCTGAGGACAGGCTTTCGCAGCCAGGTAGGCAGCTCCACGTTGTTCAGGCGGCCCCACGCACGGGAGAGCAGGCGTGTTGGCACTGACTTGTACAAAGAAACCTACAGACAGAGGGAGGGATTATGGTGGAAGATGGTGTAGCCACAAGAGTTGTCTTTGAATTGATGCTATCCACTTGAGGGAGGGAAGAAAGAGAAAAATCCTCCTGGCCCAACTCCTGGCAGAGTTTCAGATCAGTAGCAAGGAACTGGCTGGGCCGAGCAAGTATCTGCCTCCCTCGGAAGGCCGAACAGAAACATGCGCACAGCTCGTTGACCTGGTTCTATTGTATTAACACAACCTCCTTTTTGATTTAACACTGAAAATGTGGAATTATTCAGACCAGGGAAACCTCTGTTAAAACACTTCCACATTGAACTCTGAGCAGCGATACCATGGGCAATCCACTTACAGCCACAGGGATGGTCTCCTTTCTCTTCACAGAGACACATTTTCCCCAGTTAGGCCAAGATCCCTTTGGCAGAATTCCTTCTATATATTAAGGTATTGCAAAGAAACCCTTCCATGGTTTCCCTGAAAGATTCAGAAGAAAGTAGCTATTTGCATCTCAGAGTGGAGTGACATACTTCCAGATAGTGTTAATTGGATTGTTAATTGATTTTGACTGCAGAAGCCAAAATCCACCTTTCATCAGCTACTCCTTCTCATCACTTCTTCCACAAAATCCATTCCAGAAGGAAACACAGAACTGCTCTGCACTGTTTTTCACTGCATTCAAGAGCATCCTCTCTCCTCTGCCTTATTACTATATGAGGAAGAAGCAAGAGTTGGAATGAGCACATTTTAACTTGCACTAAGCAATGGAAACACTTTACCACAGATAAGTAAAAATTACAGCCTGTTGTGGCAGGTCTGGTCCAATGGATAGCTTTTTGTAATGCTGAATATGCAAACTATGGCTATTACTTACATTTCCTCCTTTTAGTTCAGAATCAGGGACCTCAGTCTGCAGAAACTGACTAATTGCTAAGAGTAAGAGATCAGCCCCTCTTTCTTGGCCAATACAATTCTCTCCCCTTTCCTCAACAAGCTGGCCTATTTAGCTCCTTGGTCAAAAAGAGGCTCAACCTAGCTCAGCCTGTCTTGTCTCAAGCCACCTGAAGCTCTGTCTTCTAGACAATTTTCCTCTGCTGGTCCTGGATTAGGTGGTGACAGTGGGAAAGGAGAGCAGCTTTCAACAACTGCAAGTAAGTTTTCAGAGCACTGCAAGGCTAGAGCTTCCTCCTCCATAAAGGTCCAAACAACTTTGCACCTCTGGCAAGGCAGAAACACCAAGACATCCTAGTCCCAGAGTAAAATGGAATGACCCTGGCCTTGAACCTGATTTGCAGCCTACAAAACCCTCTAAAATTGTGCTGCAAACACTCCACAACTTCTGGTTGGGTTTTGGTGGAAAATGAAAAATATACATAGTATATAGCCATAGTACAAAATAACTGAACTTCAGAAAGGGGAGAGGGGAGGAAGCATCTGACAGTGCACATTCTCCCCAGAAGAGACAGACCCAAGGTATAACCCTTGCCTACTTCACCTGATGGACTATAATAGAAAAGGAGTTAGCCCAAACGAAGGCTAGGCTCATGAAGGACTTAGACTCTCCATCTGCAAGGAACCTGTCCAAAGGTCTCGCACTTCCATTGGCTGTGGCCATCAGTTTCAAAACAGGTTAGCTATCATATGTTCTTTAATATTTCCCACCCTCCTCAGCAGTTACTGAGACAACTAATGACAAGGATAAGCTTGAAAATTGTATCTTGATGTTCTTGATGTGTCATTATTCTCTTGTAGTTCTTGCTAGTGATCTTGTTGCTAGACTTGGCCCAAATGGTGCCACTCTTTATACTTGCCTCAAGTGCTGATTCTCCCCTTCACCTAATGGCTTAATCCATCTTCAGTTTTGTCAGTCCAAGTATAAAGAATCATGGGGACCGGCAGCTGGCCCAAATGATCATTAACTTTGATTCAACCATCTTGGGTCTGTAGAAAGGGATCACAAAAGGGGAATAGATATGCTGGGGCAGATGCGGTGCCAGCATGACTGATTGCTTATTGTGTCTCCAAAATTGATTTCTTTAAGACTGATATACAAACTAGTAGTGATTGCTTCTCTCTCACTGTGAAATTAGTATGCAGTATGTTGTCCAGAGCAAACTTGCCTGGCCAAGACTCCCATGGAAAGATTCTATCATATTAGCTGATCTAGACGGGAGAGGGCGACTTCACTATTTTCAAGCTCATCTATAAGATTTTTCAGTGTGTCTTCAAGACTGCTCTGCACTTGAATTGAGCCTAGTATCTGATGAGACTCATCTGAGACTACACCACCTTAAATTCTAGTTAAAACTGGCCTTTATGCAGAGATCTTTGGCGTTCCTTATCCTTGGGGATAATTTTGGGTCCTTATGGAAGATAGGAGTACTTGAAGATATTAGAAATTGTGGCTTCTTGGCCCAGTATTTAGATTCACTGGGTTTTGAGAGAGCCAATGTGGAGCTACAACAAGATATTTGATCATGACTTCCAGAAAGTATGGAGTATTTCCCCTAATACTACAAAAATGATTTATTTAGAAGTCCATTCACTCCTGCCAATTATCTCATAAATTTCCTGTTTATTCTCCATAGACAAACCCCCGCTCCCCCAGGTAAGACTCAATGCTTTTTTGAAGGGAGATATAACATTCTTTCACATTCCTCTTTGTCCCTGTCTGGAGAGGGTGACTGAGTCAATTTCTCATGTTCTATTGCAGCATCCCTTCTATCAGGCTTATTGGCTTGTTTTAATCATTCTCCCTGTAGGTTAGATAAGAATAAGGTAACCTTTCTACTAACCAGTTTGTCAACTGAAATTTCTGGAAAGGTTGTCATCTTCTCTTCAATTGCTGTTGCCATAAGAGACCTGTGGTTTAGCTTTCATTTGCTAATCTAGAAGCTAGTGCTCTCATAGGCTAGCTCACACAAACTCTAATTTTAATTTATAATTATAGTTTGGTTCTTTTACTCTGCCATCAAACAAACTGTACCTGGATTCTTTTGTTCTCTGACCATAAATAAACCGGAGTTGTCATTTATTAGTTCACTACAGCTTCTCACCTATGGAAGTCTAGCCTTGTTGGGAAGGATGCTGGAGAGACAGTGCTTGCTTTCCAGCAAACAGTTAATAATCTCCAGCAGATACGAGTGATCTAGACTCCAATTAAAAATTCTAGAACTAAGTTTAAATCTAAGCTTGGTTTGATGGAGAATGTGCTGATGCCAAGATTAAACCAGTCAAAGTATATAGGGCCTACAGACATGTTAATTGCTACTCCTTGTACGGAACTTTATAAGGAACAAGCTGGAAGCTCGGTGGAAACTAGCACTCCAAGAAATTGTCTGACCGAGCAAGGACAGTGTACTAGCTGACAAACAGCTGGGTTCGGGTCAGGATGATGAACGTTAACTTGGCCAGTAAATTAATTTGTATCACCAGAGTGAAAAGTATTTTAAGTGCCCTATGGTGTGCTGCTTCATGATGTCTTTATTGATTGAGAGGTGGCCTTTCACTCCCATTTCTGCTCTTGACAAAAGCAGAGCTCCATCCAGTCCTCTACGCTGATGGCCCAGCAGCCAGCCCATCTACTGTGCAAAGCAGTCTAAAGCAGAGCCTTCAAGCCCTCACTCTGCACTAAGGAAAGACTTGCCGTCAGTTATTGAAAACAAAGGTATTGGTGGTGGCCATTAAGAAGCTTGCAAGTCGTAGACATTGCTGGAAGATCAGTGGCATCTGCCACAGCAAATTAAGGCATTTAAACATTTGGGAGCTATTTTTCAATATTCTGCTGTTGAAAAGAACAAGTAACAGCTGTTCTGCCTGGGCCCCTAAGATTGCTAATGCTATCCTGCATTTTTCTAGCACACGGATGATGACTATGCTCATGACTCTACATCTTTTTAAAGATAAGGTAATCAGCCACCATCATGATTCCTAGATTTGTAAAGATAAAGGCCCCAAACCTCTGGAAGGGGTACAGAGAGATCTAATTAAAACACTGAGGAACCTGAAGCATAGAGATCTAAGAGCTACGCTTCAGGTTCCTCAGTGTTTTAATTCATTTTGCACATGGAACCCTAACCCTAACCTGGACTGACTTCTCTAGAGGCTAACGTGAGGCTCCAATCATTTACAATTCCGGCTAAAACTGATTTACACTGATGGCTCCTTTGCCTCCTCTATCCTTTTGGATAGCTCTCTACTGTCTGGAAGAAACTCCTCTGGAGGAGAGTGCAGATATCTTATTTCAGGTAGGCATCACATACTTCCTTTGGTTATTTTAAAGTCAGTGTCAACTGTTTTGAAAACTCTTGTTTACTATTCTGACCTCATGAGACTATAGATCTGAAATCAGGAATCTCACTGTTTAGGCAGCGTTAACTCTCATAATTCCACGGCCTTCTTGTAGTCCAAACTAAGCTAGTTCCATCTGAAGACATTCAACTTATGCAAATGAGGGTTATGTCCCTTTGTAGGACCAGAGGAATGATGAAAAAGTGGATTAATACTCAGCAGGAGAGGTAAAAAAAGAGTGTGTGGCTTAGTTGGCACAGACAGCTGCTGGTCCTGGTGATCTCATCTCAATAATGGAGGATCCTCAGCAGAGCACTCTGGGATCTCCCAAGATCAGGTTGCTCAAGGCTTAGCTAACCACCAGAGTGTTAGGATTTAAACTTCAGTGGATTAGTTACAATCATACTACACATGGGAAGAACATGTAATCTGTTTAAACAGTCATAGTGACCCAGAGGCAACGAAGCAACAGATCAGAATAGGAATTGGAATACTGTGTACAGTATTAATTGCACTGGATTTTGAGAAGTAAAATGCCCCTGAGGCAACACATATCACAGGAAAGATCTGAGTTCAACCTAGCTGTTATGGCAGTGGGCTCCACGTGAAGACCCCTTGCTTCAACCAATTATCTAGGTAATATCTCATTTGTTTCACTTGAGAGCCTTTTCTTTGGCCATATTTGATGCTCTGCTATTTATGTTTATGGAAGGGA